ATGTGCATATATATATATATATATATATATATAGCATCTCTCGGAAAATCAAGCACCGGAAAAGTGTAAAACACATTGCGAAAATGTAAAGTGTTCCATGGATTGCAGGCAAAATAAGCGCTGCAGCCGCAGGCCCATAGACATAGATTTGGTTACGGATCGATCAGAGATATCACAGTAAGCCCCATCGCAATCTGAAAGAGATAAGTGAGAGCTGTGTGGACATTGTTTATTATAATATATGATATATGCATTATATGTACTTTTATAAGCTTACGGCTTTTGTTTCATAAAAGACGGACACTCCGACGGAGAGACGGATGGACGGGCGGCGGGACCGACGGACAGAGAGCTGAACGGATGGAAGAACGAATAGATGGACGAGCAAATTGATGGGCGTACATAAGCATAAAGAGACGTATGGACGGATAGACGGACAACAATCCGACGGATAGACAAACGGATAGACAGACGGATAGACAGACGGGTAGTTGGACGGATAGACTAATAATTGAACAGAGGGACATGTGGAAGCCTAGGCGAGAAAGCAGAAGAATGAGACAAACGGAAGAAAAAAATACACTGGACGGAAGGACGGAGAGACGAGCAGTCAAACAGACGTACAGCACATGACTAGATCGATTGAACTAATTGACCTGGTAATAAATATGTATGTATGCATATATACATACATATATGCTTTATGGGATGTGTCACGCCTCGTTAAGAAAAATGACCCAGAAATCAAATTCAGCATTCGCAAAACTTTCGAAACACACCTCGAATATACTAATAACTCCATGGAGTATGACCTCATTATCTCCCACCAGCATCGAATATCCGAATATCGATTTGAGGACAACGATTTCTTGCTCGGGCATGGGGTATACCAGCTCAGTTGACCCGGCCACACAGACACTTTACGGGTAGTGCCAACAGGGGTATTACGATAATGGAAACATCAGCAATTTAACGCAAGGTTATGTTCCAGTCAATGGGCGATCTGTGGTCGTTAGCTATGTCCAATCGATGGAACATCTTATGGGCTCTTTTTTTCCACTCGCTCTCTATCTTTTTTTGACACTCTCCGTGCGGTTAATGGGCTAACGGAATGAGCTGCTGCGTTGTCCTTGAGCAGCGCCGCAGTTGAGGTTGTTATGCTAATTAATGCGACAAATGCATTAACTGGGCACATGCCGATCTGACACCGGGTGTTCCACGCAGAGTGCAAAAGAGAAAGAGAGATGGTAGAGAGAGTGAGAGAGAGAGAGAGAGAGATGGTAGAGACCTGGTAAAAAGTATAAAAGCAGACCACATGCCTCGTCATCTCAAATGATGCGTTTTAATTTCCATTATCGATTCGCATTGTACGCGCTGCGGTTGCCAATGACCTTCGAGCGGATCTGAAAGGAATCTCAGGATCCTGCGGAAGATAAAGAAGCGGAACACTTGACCAGCAGGCGGTAATGTCAGCATATGCAGTTCAGGCAATGCAGACACAAGTGAAAAGTGAGAAAAAAAATTAAGATAAATAATTCTTGAGCGAAATTTCACTTTACTGCTCAAGCGGGTATAACCGACTGCATGAATTTACTCATCATCAGCTATGATTATTCATTATTTATTTATTTTTTTAATTAATTTTTAATTTATTAATTATTTTTTAAGATTAATATTATTTTTTTTAATATTGAATATTAATCGATTTTCTCAAAGAGAAAAAGAAATCTTGCTTTGCAGCGATTTTTAGGCCAAGCTAAAAATTGTTTCATTTATATACTATATAGGTATATAGTAGAATAAATATATACATATTTATATTTTTATAAAGTATTTATTCTATATAATTAATTGAATAAATACTTTATATTCTCATAATGTTAAGCCAAAACGAATATTTGTATATATATATATATATATAAATGTCTATTTGTCCATATATCTCTTTCTTTCCATCTATCAATCTTACTTCTTCTTCTTCTGTCATATATAATATTTTCCATTATATACCTTATATATCTAATATGAAATTTAACGAAATATTTGAAACATTAAAATTTGCTTTGGTTTGGTTAGGTTCCCTTTCATAACTACGAACTATATCAATACAGGGTAAGTCATAAATAGACGCCCTATCGGAAAACCCTCTAACTTTTGCAAATGGCGCCTGAGCTGACAGAAAAGTGAGAAAGAAAAGGAACATTGGCTGAATACTTTGGCTTACCATTCTCTATAGTAAAATCAAATATGATCGAACATGAAATACTACGAGTAAATGAGATTCTCAATTTATCAGCTGCTGGTAAAATCTCTTCTCATTTTGTTGATGATTTACCAAACTGTTTTCTCTATTTAAACTATCTATCTATATATTCTTTCTGACTTTGCTTTACTCGCTTTTATCATCTCTTGCATTCTTCTATTTTAATATTAATTTAGTTTAAAAATTCTCTTCTGAATTCCCATCAACAAATTTAAATCGTCTTAAGGCTCAATAATACAACAGACTATATTTGGCTGTGAAATTTAAACATATCAAATATTCCAGTTGTTATTATCGGGGCACCAATTTTTTGTTTTTTTTTTTTTTTTTTTTTTTTTTGAGATTTATAAATTTTATATTTTAGTCTTTTTCATTGAAGCAAAAAAAAACCTAGGAGTTAATAAGAAATTAAGAAACTTTTAATTGATATTTAACCATAATATCAAATGATATATGCACCCAATATCTAACCGTAGATACCAAGGATGGACATCTATTTCCACTCTAACCATATATCTAACCATATTAGATATCCAAGGCGAATCAGTTGAGTCTATAACTCCACTACTCGATGTTCAATTGACTAAAAAAAAAAAAATATTTGCATTGCCTTTAACTTCCACTTCCCCTCACAGCAATGCCCGTTCTTGTTTCCCCATCAATCCATACCAGAATTTGAAGCAATGAAATAAAAAAAGCATTTGAAAATTTTCGTTATTTGTTCAGTTGGATTTTTTGTTGTTTTTATTTGGTTTCAGAAATTCGTTTGTGTTCATTCATTTTTTTCGCGCTAAAACTTAAATCTAGACAAAAAAAATTGTGTTTTGCTTATTCCTTACGTGGCTAGAAACTTAAACATTTAAACACTATCAATAGCTAAATTCGCATGATTCAATAATAATAATAAAAATAGTAAAAAAAAAAAAAAAGAGGAAGAGAGTATGGATAACGCACTATTTACACAACAGTCGAGTGAAACTATAAAACTAATTTCAATTTATGCTACGAGATTTCATTTTTTTTATGGGAACTTCCCTACGAAGACAAAGTTGTTTTTGAAAAGTTAAAAATAAAAAATAATAATAATAATATTAAAAAAAAAAAAAAAAAATTATAAAATTGAACTAAAGTTGGTTTGGTTTTTTGGTGTTTTTTCTTCATTTTTTCGAGTGTGGAAATTGCGAGCAGAAGACGTTTAACAGTTTTTCTTCAAGTTCGCCCCGCGGCGATCGAGCGAAATTCCAGTTGAGGTTTATCTAGTATAGGTATTTGTGCTCGTGTGTGTGTGTGTGTGTGCAACGAGCTCAACGCACGACTTTATGAATCGAGCATAAAATTTCGAGTGAACTCCTCGCACAACCCCATTTCGACTGCCAACAACTATAATATCCTGCTGATGCTGCTCCCGCTCCTGCTCCTGCTCCTGCTCCTGCTCCGTTTGCCGGCCGGAGTTGTGTTTGTTTTTGTTTTTTTGTGGAATTTGTCTGCTTCTTCCTCATTTGTGCTGTGCCTAACTTATATGACTATATCACAATGTTGCTGCCGCTCTGCGCCTGCTTTCTGCATCCTGCTCCATATCACGCTGTGTGTGTGTGTGTGTGTATGTATTGTGTGTGTGTGCTGCTGCTGCGACTCCTGCTCAATATGGCCGCCACACGGTCTTCTGCTGGACAACGGCATTCTTCAGCTTGGTTGCCGCCGGCAGCGTCGTCTCGGGCGATGCCTGGCGCGGAGCGTGGACGGCGGCCACCGCTGCTGCCGCTGCCGCCGCCGCTGCTGCTGCCGCCGCCGCTGCCGCTGCGGACGACTCGTGGTAGAGCGGCTTCAGGGCGGACGGGGCTTTCAGGTCGCAGCGCATACGCAGCGGCACGGAGATCTGCTGGGTGGGCGAGCTGCGCGTCGAGTCGATGGACTTGTCCAGCTCGTACTCGGACTTGACCACATCGATCTGTTCGTCGTCGGAGTCCGCATCCGAGGCGGACTGTTCGTGGATGGAGCTCGTCTCGATGGAGGTGTTCAGCTTGAGCAGCACGTGCGGCATGGATGTGGGCGTGGGCGTGGGCGAGGAGCTCGATGGGCGCGACGAGGCGGGGCTCATGTGCGCCGTTTCGGCGCCACTCAAACCGCCGTGATGCAGTGCAGCGGCGGCGGCATTGCGCGCCCTCAGGCCCGCGGCGGCCGCAAAGTTGTACGGATGGAAGGCGTGGGGCGTGGCCTTTTGGCTCTGATGCGCGGCGGCGGCAGCGGCGGCGGCCACATGATTGAACGGAAACTGGGGCATTGCGTACGCGGACGCTGGCGGACCGCCCGGCGGCGAGGGCATCATGGAGCCGGGTGGCACCACACCGCCCACTGGCACGCCCACCACTGGCGGCGCCGGCGGATAGTCGGCGGCAGCGGCGGCGGCGGCCACAACGGCGGAGGAGGCGGCGGTGGGCATGGCGGCGCCACCAGCAGCGCCCGGCGAAATGACGCCGCTGTTGCTTCCATTGGGCGAGGTGGCGGCCTTGGACAGCGCCGGATGATGCACTGCAGCGGCGGCGGCCTGCTGATGCCGGAAGTAGTCCGCATAGCCGTAGGTCATGTACGCCGCATCCAGCCAGGCGGGGTTCAGCATGAAGGGATTAAATGCGCCGGGATGTGGATAGCCATAGCCTGGAGAGCGAAACGAAAGGAAGAAGAAGAAGAAGAAGAACATAAATTAGTACGATCCGTAAATGGAATCAAAAACAATTGCTTTTCATTTAAAAACTGGAATTCCGGTTGGGGATTATTAGCCGGACATTGGATTCGGGTTTGGTTATTGATGTGGCATTGGGATTTGGGATTTGGTATTGGGTTTTTGGATTTTGGGGCGCTCAAAACTGAAAATCGTAATGGAAACTAAAAAACTCACTTTGCTTACTTCTTGGCTCCCGCGGCCCGTCGACCGTTACTTTAATGGCCTTGCTGTAGCTGGCGATCTGCACCGGATAGGTGGCGATGGTGATGGTCAGCGTAAACGATTTACCACGGCCGGAGCGTCCGACGAAGCGCAGATCATTGAATTTGGCCACCTGATTCTTCATCGTGGTGGTGCAGTTGCGCAATTCGCCGCAGTAGTTCTCATCGTTGCCGCACTTGATCGAGACGAGGGTGCCGTCGGGCACATCGTCCAGGGCGATCACCTTGAAGGCGCCCGGCAGCGATTTGTTGGAGCGCCAGTGATTGGGCAGGGCGCTGCACAGGATCGACGGCGAGCCGGTCTGGGCCAATTCGCCGTGATATTCCTGGAGCATCTCGTGCAGGCTGGCGAACATGTCCGTCATTGAGCTGGGCATTTTCGCCAGATTCGCCGTATTCGCATTGGAGCTGTTTGAGCTGTTGTTGTTGTTGTTGTTGCTGCTGCTCGTGTTGTTGTTGTTGTTGTTGTTGTTGCTGGTGTTGCTGGTGTTGTTGTTGCTGCTGCTGTGATGGCTATTGTCCGGCGTGGAGCTGCCCGTACTGCTGGCCGAATGTGTGCTGATGTTGCCCTGGCTAACATTTGTGGCCGCCGCTGCGGCCGCTGCCGCTGCTGCTGCCGCGGCCAGGACCTGGGTGTGGGCGGACGTATTGGCCACCAGGGTGGGTCCCGTGGGCAAATGCATTTCTCACAATTTCACTTTAGTATCACGTGCTCAAAAAAAAAAATGCTGTGGCTATCCAAGTGGCGTTATCCTGGTAATCCTTCTTTGCACTTGCACTTTGATATTGTTTTCCAACAATAACCAAAAAAAAAAATCGTATTTTTGTTGGGAATAATCTAAGGAAACGCTAGCTAGCTGGCAATGCCGCTGCCTTTCGTTCGCACTCCAAGATACACGCGAAAAAAATTTTGTTGTAAGTCTTTCGTTTTCGTATAATTTCGAATTCGCTCGCTCGGTGGTGCCCGTTGCAGTTACAGTTACAGTTACAAAATGTTGCTCACTACGGTTCACTTTTGAACTAACGAAACGCGGCGAATATTGTGTGCTCAGCTCTCGCTCGCTTCGCTTCGCTTCTTCTTCTTCTTCTTCGACGTCGTCGTTGAATAGTTGTTCTCTCTTGTCTGGCTGCGTTCTCGACACGTTAAAGTCGCTGTGTGAACTGTTTCTCAACTGCGATCGTTGCCAGTATTTAAAGTAGAATGCGTTGCCGTCGCTGTCGGCGTCGGCGTCGCTGCTGCGCCGCTGCAAGACGGCAGTGGCGCGCTCAGTCGCTCGCTCTCGCTTCCACTGCAGCGTCAAGCAGAGGCGCACTCGCTCGCACTCGTTGCAATAATTCAGGACGTCGCTGCGTGGTTTGGTTGGCTCGTTCGCTTACCTATTGTGTGTGCGTGCGTGTGTGTATGTGTGTGTGTGTGTGTGTGTGTATGGGCTAAGGGTGCAACGGCTGCCGGTGGCGGTGGCGGTGGTGACCGGGGCAGGTATCAACCACCATTGCCACAACAACAACCACAGTAAAAATTTCCCATTTTTCCATTGCGGTGTACACTCGCGCACACAGAAAACACGGCCAACAGCAACAACAACAGCAACAGCAGCGGCAGCAGCAGCAGCAGCAGCGACTGAGCAAAGGCAAAAAGAAATAAGGGAAGTCGACGGCAGCAGCAGCAGCAGCAGCAGCAGCGACTGAGGAAGAGGCGTGCGTTGTTGTTGCCATGCTACTTGTGGCCAGGGACGCGCGGTCAAACCGACAAACGAAAAGAAAAAGAGAAAAAAAAAACAACAACAAAATAACAGCAACAACAAGAAAAAAAATTGAAAACACCAAAGGCGAAGAGGGCAAAAAATCGTTGGAAGCAAAATAAAAATGTGCCATGAGAGCGCATCGCGCCAGAGAGAGAGAGAGAGCGGGGCGGCTCTCTGAGCATATTGGAAAGGCGCAGGCGGGCGCACAGCAAAATAAAATGACGTAGATAAAAAACACTCACGGACTGACTGGGGTTTTATGAAAACTCATGCGGAAAACCGTGGCAAAAAAAAAAATACGAAGCAAATTCTAAAAAAAAAAAACGAAAGGAATAACTCATCTTGCTCTCAATCGCTGTGCTCTCGCCGCTCTCTCGCTCTCGCTCTCGCCTCTATTCTTCTATTGCGCCGTGTGTCGCCGGCTCAGTCGCTCGCTAACTCCGGCCCCCCGGCGGGCGGTCGCAGGCTGGAAAATTGGTTTCTCTACGCACGCAACTTTAACAACGGCATTCAACAGTTCCAACTGCGCGCGTGTAGGCGACAGACACCCCACGGCCCCGCATCCAGTCCACAGTGCCAGGCTTCTTCTGGCAATGCTGCGCACCCAATGGCCGAGCCACAGGTAGCGGCTAACGGCACAATTCTGCGAGCAGCCACAGTGGCGTCCACTGTGAGGGTGCACTGAGAGAGCAAAGACGCATCGCTAAATAGATCCTGTTTGCAATGCAAATACACCCATATTAGCGATATTAATTTGGAGTGTGTTGGATTAGTCAAGGATTTGAGATGGATAATCAGCAGATTAGCCAATTGCGCAAGATCTGAGTGATTTATAATTAAGTCCGAACTGATCTAGTTACTTGAGCTGGGCCTTAGGCCTAAGCCTTTGCGGAAGTGATTTAACTAGAATATGAAAATAATGAGAAATATTGTAGGCATGATTTTGTCTATCAATAGAAAACTATTTTGATTAAAATATAATATTTTTAGGAATACAAAAAAATATATATATTATATATAATAATAGTATATTATATTAAAAGAAGAGCAAATGTTATTTTATTCTATAATAAAACGAAATTTGTATTGATATAGAAACTAAATAAATAAATGACTATATAACTTGTATTAAAAACACAGAAATTCGTTTTATTTCAACTAATATACCATAAAATAATATTAATAAAATAATTGTATTCATATTATATCATGTTCAACAATATTTTTGCTAAATATTGCATTAACTGAATAAAGAACAAAATGAATATTTCGAAAAATTGTTTTAAAACGAATATAAATGTAAAAAAATTAATAGTTGTATATAAAATAAACATTAAAATCTCCAAAATATTCAAACTGAAATAAATGTATATTTTATACGCATATAAAAATAAAATAAAAATATATTCAAACTGAAATAAATATATATTTTATACAAATATATAAATAAAATAAAAATGTATTCAAACTGAAATAAATATATATTTTACGCACATTTATAAATAAAAAAATTATTTTAGTAATATTTTACACGCATATATAAAAACATATTATATAGTTTTTATGTAGTAGAAAATGCTTTATAAATTCACCCCCCTCCCGAGAAGATTCAATGCGATGCGCCTCTGCCGCGAGGACGACAAATCAAACTCGCGGCAGCCCAAAAAATTGCGGAGCACCGAGCAAGTTAAAACGAGGCCACAAGTGCTGCACACAAAACGGACAGACGAAAAGGAGAAGAGACAGATGGAGAGGGAGCGCGTGCGGGAGCGGGAGCGGGAGAGAGCGAGTCAAGGCAGAGCAGCGGCAGCGAATGGATGGATGGCAGGGCAACCACAATGAGGAGCAACTGGCTAGCCACTGACACGAGAGAGCGGCAGAGGGAGCTGTGAGAGCGGATACCACTAGGGGGGTGGGAAGGGGAAGGCAAAGGAGGAGGCGTAGGGGAATTATCTTAAGTGCAGGTCGTGACTCGAGGCGAGCCAACCAAAATGTCGCGAGAACGCGCCTCGCTGCGGGTGAGGGCAGCAGCGCAGCCGAAGCGTCGGGAAAGTACACGCACACTTCCAATCAACAGCGACGTCGGCGTCGCTGTCAATGCGTGCGCGCCCGCTCGCTGTGACAACAACAGCAACAACAAGGCCAATCGACTGCTGGAAGAGAAGAAGACTAGCATCGGCAAGGACGCGCCCGGCCGTGGATGAGGCGATACAGGTTCGCAAGTAGCGTGCGACAAGGACGTAGCCGGCAAGGCTTTGATTGTTCTCAGCTAGCCGTTCCAGCGAACTGGCCGGGCTCCTAGCCGTGCGTACGTACGTACCGCCAGCGTTATCCTGTCGTTTTCCACGGCAATTTGCGTGGCTCATTCAACACCCGCTGATCTCCAACAGTTCGTACAGAAGCTGCGCATTGCACGCGCATCGCGCCGCAGGACGCAAAGCGGATCAGTCGCAAAACCGATGAAGAAGAAGCTGGCGAAATTCGAATATCACTGCAGCTCTACCTAAACGCTCTATCTATCTATCTCTCCTTCCCTTCCTCCCTCCCTCCCTCTCTCTCCCTCGCTCTTGTTGCAGCTGCCACCCTTTTTTTACGATCGTTTTTTCTTGTTCTTGCGGCTCAAAGCCCCTGGTATAAAAATCATTTTCGCAATCAGGTAGCCACCCACTGCCTGTCCTCGGGCCTCGACAGGTAGACAAACCACATTCGGATCGCGGATCAGAAATCGCGAGCGCCGCACTCCCTCTTAATCCTTTACTTATGAAAGTCAATCGCCTGGATTATCCAGCACGCCCAGCAAATATTTTGGGCGATTAGCCGCCCCACAAGCGAACGACAGATCCGCGAAGATCTACCTTCACAGGTAAGCAGCAACCTGTAACCGGTAACCGATAACGGGAATCATTCTGGCCCTAACGGTTAAAGCAAAAGATCATTTAGGTCATACCTAGTTCATATATTATCTAAATACATCAATATATACATATATACATACATATATAAATTGAAAAAGTTGTCGATTATATTCACTTATTCGTATTTTTATTGTTTTCATATTTTAGTTAATTTTTATTGCATAAATATGCACCTCTCTTAATATACATACATATTTACATGTAAATTATCTAAATATTTCACATTATTTCCCATACAATTGTTCTTCCAGTTTCCATTGGCAATGCAAAATCATTCCATAACCGCACTGTAAAAAAAAAGAAAACAACAACAACAGAAACCGTTCTTTTTGCTCTCTTCTCGATCGCCGCAGTCGACCAAACGATTGGAAGCGCGTGAGCGCAGTGCGAGCAACTGGAACGATGCGATCGAGCCCAACCCTCACTCACTCACACACACACACACACACACACAAGTTGGAGAAGGGGGCGCTGCCGCAGTTTTGAGGCCAGCCAACCAGTGGCAAGCAGCAGAGCCACGACCACTGCGATCAGTGGCCGTCGCTGTGAGTGGGGGTTGTTTATAAATAGACGCACGCCGACCGTCCACTGAGTGCGAGGCGACCAAGCGTTTCCAATGGCTGCCGCAATGGAGCGCGAGCGAGACGCCCGACACGCTATTAGCTACTGGCTCCGCCCCTGGGCCAAGGAGTGGCCGCTAATCGACGATCGTCGCGACGATCGGCGATCGGTGATCAATAATTGCCAGCAATAGCTGCCGGAATGCCGTGTGCCCCGCTTGCTGCACATGCCGCCACTAACTAGGCAACACAAAATGCTCGTTGCGAAACAGTTCAGAGCGAGCGCAGTTCCAACGCAGTTCAACTGCTCTGTTCCAACAGCGCCAACAGCGAGCAAGATGGAGCGCGCCGCAATTGAGAGCCATTTTTAAAATGCTGCGACGCGACGTCAACGACGACTGCGGCGACGACGAGTTGGCAGCGACCGCGAACGTCGCTTGTAAGTGAATTGTGGTTTGTTGTTTTGGTTGGCGCGCGCTGCCACTGCCACTGCCACTGTCGCAGTCAACGTTGACGTCACTGCCGCACGCTGCTGCGCCGCTGCGTTGCTGCGTTGCTGGCGCTGCCA